TGGAAAAATAGGGTCGGGGGGTTGGAAAAATAGGTGACCCTTTGACCACTACTGTAGCTGTCCAACATCCTCTCAAAGAAGAACACCGAGACTTCGCTCGTCCATCCTTCGGTTTCTCCGGTCTCCAGGAACAACCGAAGCGCCACGACTTGCCCTGGCTGTACCAACGGAGGGACCAGGCGCCGATCCCACCGCGCGGTCTGCGGCGCGGCCTCCGGAAACACGGTCCTGAGGTTGAAGGACCCGAACGGCCCGAAGGGTTGACTATCCCATATAGGTAGTAAGGACGCTACGAACGGAGCTCCTGGCAAGAAGCTACGAACGGAGCAAGAAACCGAAATGGAAGGGGCTCCCCACGGTTCACGGGTCCTAGTTCAGGTCACCTCTCAGACGGGCCCTGTGGGTCGAGACTTGGGGGTCCTCCACTCACCGGTGGACATCCGATGGTGGAGACTTGGGGGTTTGGGATGGCTGAAGAGTGGAGGGCATTGTCCAGGTATATGTTGAAAGTGCGTTTGCACCCGTCGAGTTTTCGGCTCCAAGCGATTGGCAGCACCAAGTGATTGGCATCCGGTGGCCGTAGATTGTGCCCTGGGGGGATGCCACATCTATTTGGGTCACTTGAGACATCAGCGTCGCGTAGCAATACAGACCTTGACCCCATCGAGTGGCTTGGCAGGGTGGGAAGGGAGGGGGCGCTTAAGATCCATGACTTGGTCAAGTTCACCTCCAAGTATCATTCTTCAGAGTCAGCACTGCAAGAATATTCATATCAACATTGTGTAGCTTGAGTACATCAGAGCTAGATAGGCGTAGTCACTGGCCGGAGCCATGAATGGCTCAGAAGAAGAGAAACATGGCGTACCATGAGTTGAGTAAGCTAGCCGATAGATGGACCCTAGGGCCAAGGACACCCATGAGATCTACCGCCGAGGGAGAGAGCAGACTGAGAAAAGTAGAAACGGCCCATGAGCCCAGGAGCTTTGCCGCAAATTCTGATGTGAGACAAGACCTGATAATAAACGTTTTATCTATAATCAATATTGGTTCGCGCGCTCTCTTTGCCTGCAGGGCCAACAAAAGTGTTCAATCTTCAATTCAGTTTCAATCAACCTTAGTTTGAAGACGAGTGATTTTCATGATAATTACGTGACATCTCAGACCTCAGGGACTTCCATTTTCTTTTTTAGGAAGGTGTTGTATATCTCCAGGTGCCTCACAGGGCAAGCGGAGTGACCACGACTAACTCATGCCGCACTTAGGCGAGCCATGACTCTTGTGCGCAAAAGCACCGCACCTTGGGCCGAAGGGTTGGACCTTGGCACCGGGCACCTCAACAGAAAGAGCACAGGTCATCGACTCTGAAAGACCTGAGAAACCCAAACTGAACTACCCTTTGTGACCGGAAGGCGTTTGAAGGCGTCTGAAGGCGTCTGAAGGGTTTGGCTGAGCTGGTCAGGAAAGCACCAGCTCCTCCAGCAGCACGAAGACCTTGCCTCGACCAGTTTCCTTTGTGAAGAAGTTTCACAAATGCGGCACCTTGGCGCCGGTGGTGGGGAGAAGCAACGGCAACATGGTCTTAAAGCAGCATTGCCCGCCGAAAGACCACTCAAAGCTAGCAGACTTGCTATCCCAAAGAATTTTCAATCTCAGACTAGCCGCTAGCCACTGCACCAGATCAGACTGGGAAGCTTCATATTGAATTATTCGCCAACAAGTGGGCGCATGCGCACCTTGCCTGGGAACCTGCTGCTTTTCACGTGCAGGTCGGGAGAGCAGGCGAGCAGCAGAACGGGAGCAGCAGGCGAGCAGCGGTGTTAGAGGTGACCTTTTTGCTACATTCTTTGGTCCGTTTTTTTCCAGTGCTTTTGGAATCTTGTGGACTGCGGCTCAAATTGAGAAGGAATGCGAACGCACCTTGGTGCGGGGGTATTTGTGCTTGGTCCTCAAAGAGGACTTCACGGGACCTCGGCACGACTTGGGGGAGGACCTGCATGTCGGTTGCTGGGGGTGGTTGCTGGATCCAAATGGGTCCAACGGTCCATCTCTCTTGGGGATGCACCGATGCACTGATGCACCGGGCGACCTCGTATACCTCTCCACACCGAACACGCGGGAGCGGTGACCCGCCCACATGCACCGGTGTGGGAGGCTCGGGTGAGTGCCTATTTGGAGCGGAACCACTTCCGCGAGATCAATGAGCCACAACAGCCCAAAGGCTGTCTCCTCTGGAGTGACTGGATGGCACAGCCGGTCCGTGGCTTTGATTCCGAGAGGAGGGTTGGTAGAGCGGTCCGTGCATGATGATCATGATGCCCGAAACTCGAATCCATGTGACAAGAACCCGAAAAAGAAGAACCACCCAGCACCACAATGATATCATAAAAAATCTCAAAGAAAGATGTTGCAAATATATTTCAGTTTCAGTACCTGTTGCAGAAGATTCATGAATAGCAGCTTCTGAGCGAAGTCGTTTTCACCCCGGCCAAATACACAGAGGACAGGGCGGGCGGGCGGCAGGGGAGCACCCCCAGCGGGCCGCGAAAACGAGCTGCTATAGCTACATATCCAGCGACATCGCCGGTTAGACTAGAGGAGCGAGCGGGAGCGACGTTCTGGTTCGGCTGAGCACACACTCGGACGGTGTTCGTGACACTCAGACGGTGCGGTGTTCGTGTGCTTTGACCTCGCTACCGGGCTATCCTTCTCACGTCTCGGTCCCTCACGGGTCTAACCGGCGAGCAAAGTCTTCGATGGGGAAGACCGGTTGCCCCCATCTCGCTTCAGAGTTACCAGAAAAGGCGAAGAAGACAACTTCCAAAGATGCGAAAGAGGCCTCCAGTGGTTGATCATGTTTGATCTATAGCATGCAGTCAGCTGCCTTTTCGAACATTGATGCTTTGCAGCCCTAGGGGCGGAAACTATGTATCCTTTGCACCACGCTGTGAGGGAAAACAACTACGAGCTGCTCAGATGCACAAACGAATGTCGGGCCCGCAGTGATCACCCGGTCCGCACTCGCAACACGTTTCCTAATGCATTTTCCATATTTTTTTCCCATCACAGATCCTCCGTTCATTCCGCTCAGCAGTCACACAAACCATACAAACCATTGTACTTGGAGGATGTTGGAGGATTTTGGGCCATTTCATCGCCGATGAACCGAACACCGAAGGATGGTGCGACTCCTGCTGGCCTCTGGTGCTGATCCATGCCAGAGAAGCTCGAAGGGACGGACCCCTGCGCAGCTCGCGAAGGACGGTGCCAGACGCACACGTGCCAGACGTGCCAGACAGGCCTCCGGTCATAAGGCCTGAGAGAGGTTTTTGTGGTGAATGAATCAAGACACATGTCTATTCATGTCTAGCTCCAATTGATTCCATCATGTCCCGTCATAAAAGATTTTTTCACAGAACCTTTCGATCAAGGATCCGATAAGAAAATCGCATTGACAGCAGGGGCCTTCTTGTTTACGGCTTACGGCAAACAGCATGCATGAACACTCATGAACAGTAAATGTTCTTTCAGGTGTGGAACTGCCAGCCTTTGTTCTGCGCGAACGAATGCTAGAGGATAAAGCTAATCAATAAGTACAATTCCTCTCTTTGAGTTCAAAGTTCTTCCCTGATTCCAACGGCTTGAGGACCTGGGGGTTGCTGAAAGAATTATCGAGCAGTTGGAGACTTGGCACCTGTAACTGGGAGGTGGACAATCCTATTCAATCTATTCAAGTTGGTGCTGGTGTGGTTTCAAAACCGAAGCTTTTGCCCGAGGTGGCCACGGCAAAGCATTTGAGCCCATTTTACTTTGATCGCTTCTTTTGGGAGGTGACCGAGGTGACCGAGGGCCGTGGCGTCGTGACACACCGGGAGCCAAGGAGACGTCCGCCAGCAGTGGGCCGAAGCTGAGCCTTCGCAAGGCTATGGAGCTGAGCCGTTCCGAGCAGGGCCAGTTGGTAGAGGTGCACCTATAAATCGGCAGAGTCTTTGTTGTTGGGCAGGGGGCACTTGTCCAGCCCTCCAAAATCGCCAATCAAATCGACGAGGACCTGTCGCTCGGGCTCCGAGACGCTGTGAGGCAGCTCGAGTCCACGTTTCGCCGCTGGGGGGTAACCGGTGGCCACGTTCGACTGGACAAAGGGGGGCGTTTCGGAGGTTGATGGCTGGAGCATGCAGAAGCTAAGCAGACAGGGCTCGTGCGGCATTGGAATGCACTGTTAATATGAATTGATTTGTGAGATTTTGTGAGACCACCGACCCCGAGCCCGATTGAGATCCCATGTGCCCATTAATTAGAACAATTCCGTACAATTCCTTTTCTATGACTTTGTGGAGTCACCAGCTTGCGCAGTTGCTGTCACACTGGCATGTGAACCTTGTGTTTTCAACATGCTTCAACTAACTGGGCATGATGGGTGGTGTTCTTTTTCACGAGCCAGGACCACCACTGCCTCACAAAAACGAACTAGGGATATTGGTGGCAGTAGCATTTGGTATAGCTAAAGTGGCTTTGCTGCTGAATATCACGATTTGTTCCTGAAAATGCCAAGTACCTCAAAAAAAAGGCGGTGCTAACAGTGCTAACGAGCGGTGGTCCAGGAATTTTTGAGTCGCACATGTTTGGAACAGCAGCTGTTTGTGCTTTGCACCTACTGATCAAATGGTGCAACGCTCCCTTGGCTTGATGTTTCTTTTGTGCGATGAATAGCTGCCGGCCGATTTCAACCTGCAGTAAAAGCTGTGTCCAGGGACCTCTTTGTTTGATACAGGCATTGCTGACAATCAGACAGACGGAACAGTTTGTTGATGTTTGTTTCTTGAACGAAGGGGCTTCTCAGATGGATGTCCGACAGCCGAAAGCTGTAAGCATGTGAACATCATAGTCACCGTGGACATGTTGATAGAGATGGTTGGGACCAATTGTCTGTTCCCAGAAAGGTCCAGTGTTTTTCCAATCTGATCGCTTTCCAGCGATCCAGTGGATTTTGAGTGTATCTTTGGGTGCTTTATGTATGAGGACCTTGCTGAAAGATACAATACGACAACATGAATATATAGTATGCAGATAGTTTCATTGTTGCAGATTGCGCAAGGAGATGTGCTCGATCCACACTGGACGGCCTACTGTTGGCTTGCACAAATTGATTTGACGAACACCTGCGTTCGTCACGAGCATAGTG